CCGTCCACTACGGGGGTCTTTTTCGACCCAAGCGAAATTTCAAAGTGCTGTAACTTTTGAAAACGGGCACTGAAGGCGCCGTATTCCCTCCCTAAAAAAATAATTTTTATCGAAATATTATGATTGGGACTTCAAGTTGAAGGTTGAAAGAAGTTCCATGAATTTTTTCAGATTTTTTAAAGCACTTTTACTGGTCCAAAAAACGCCAAGACGATAACGACCCCCGTAGTGGACTGAAAGGTGCCGAAAAAACGTAGTGGACGGAAGGGTTAAATAAAGGCTGATAAAATATTCTATATATGTTCTTTATATAAAGATACATACACATTTTCTTAATATCGTGAAACAATTTGCGCTAAATACGCTTTGGCTAATAGTACTAAATATCTTGTTAATCATTATTTAATTTTTTAGTTATGGCAAGAACCAATACCGATAGATGTGACAGCTGCATTTTTAAATATTTATTAAAGTTCAAGTTATTTATACGTGTGATGCCGATCACGGCTCGATAAAATAACATACGAATTATTTAAAATAAAAAATATAAAATAAGTTTCAGAAATTTATTTAAAATATAAAATCGTAGGAATCCGTAAAAAACTGATACGACGTGTTTAAAATACAAAATAAAAAATAGGTTCCGGAAACTTATTTAAAATATTAAATAAGAAATAAGTCAGAAATGTAGTTATTTAAAATACTAAACAACTCTTTTAATTTTTTTATTTAAAATATATACTTTACTTTTCAGAGCTTTTACAAGTATATAAAAATTATTATCCAATTTTTGCGTTTATTTTGACATCTTTAGGAAGTATTTATACAGTTGCACACATTTATAACAAATTGTATATAAATTGTTACAATTAAATATAGTTAACAAAATGAGGAAAATGTACTTTTTTATACCAAAATGTAAAACTCTGAAACAAAAATATTTTAAGGAGAAATACGTTTCAACATCTTAAAGTCGACATTCTAAACTACAAAAGACGATACGATAACCACTTAATGTAATCGTGGGACAGAGTCCTCGAAATCATTATAAAATTCGTATGAAATCACTATGTATTATCCAATAATTACATATGCAACTACGATAAATCATTGTATAATATTAAATAAATTCATATATTTTACCAAATGACTT